ATATGTGTGTGTGTGTGTTTTGTGTGTGTGCTTGTATGTTTTGTGTGTTTGTGGGTGTACATACATATGTATACATGTACTTGACTCTAACCGCGCCCATTTATAAATCCTCAGACTGTTCGTGCGGAGTCTACTAAGCTTGGGGTAATCTTCACCAGCGGAGGCAGGCCCCGGGTATCCGATATTCAAACTATGGCAGGCAAGTCTTCTTACGTCCATGTTCATGAATATGGCGAAAACGTGCAAATGTACAAACATATATATATATATATATATTCATATATTATATATATATATATATATATTATATATACATATATATATATATATATCAATATATACATTTACACACAAACACACATATATATATACATATATATGTGTGTGTGTATTATTTATATATATATATATATATATATATATATATACATATATATCAGTAAACGTGTGAATGTATACATAATTCGTATTCTAATATATTATATACTGCACCATACTCACGCACCTGTATCTGCACCATTAAATCGCGTAGGTCTATTTATAAAGGCGCTGCTGTGTCTGATGGAGTGCACCTACGCACAACAAACACAGAGCGTGTCGGTTTTGTGTAAAGACACACTCGCACACGTCAAGCGGTCCACCAACAACATCCTCAACAGCGGCGTGAGCTTCTTCCAAACACTTAGAGATGTGTGCAAGGCTGGAGATAGTGAGCAGATACCCCCCCAGGCTACGGCCATCGTATGGAGTGCGTGTGACGAAGCCTTAGAGACCTTTCCTGCGCGCAATAGCGATGCTGTGTGTGCCATGTTGCGGGTTATCGACGAGCTGCTGCAGGATGCTGTGGAGGAGCTCAATGGAGAGTACACCCAGGCTAAGGAAGAAGCCAGCCAGGTAATATGTATATATATATATATATGTGTGTGTGTATATATATATATATATATATATATATGTATATAAGTAGTGTATGAATGTATATACAGATAGGTTTTGAGTTATGTAGATAAATATATAAATATGTCGGTTGTACGCATATTACTGTGTTGGCCTGTGTGCCATGTTGAGGATTTTTAATGAGTTGTTGTAGGATGCACTGGTGGAGCATGCACACAGGATAAGGGAGATGCAAACAAGATAATTTTATCTGTGGTGTAAACTTGTACATTACATATCTTCTTGCATGAGATACATGTATGCTTGATATGTTGCTTCCTACGAGTATGCATATATCTGCTAAGTGGTTTAATCGTTCGTTGTATGGACCTTGTATTCACAAAACACATACGCACAAACTATAACTGTGCTATGCAAAACGGATGCTTCAGTCTGTATGCGTATTCCTTCCGTGCCAGCCAATGGTACGAGGCCACCGCCTTTGGCATGCTTCATGTACATATCCTAGTATATATATCTCGCTCAATTGCAAAATATCAAACATCATATAATAGAAAAGCAATATATGAATTCACAGAATCGATATAACCACCCATCGAAGAAAAAAGTCTCGGAAACGGTCTCACATGCAATCCTTCTCTCCTCTTTAATTGTCCATTTCAGGCCTTCGACGAGGGCTGCAACCCGTCATCGACAAATGCAAGCGATGCTGACAGTGACGACGAGTACGATGTACAAGACGATATCTGGAGCGCTGTGGAGCTGGATACAGCTTCAGCAACCTTGGGACTTTGTAAGGTGTGTACGTATGTTTTGAGCATTTTAATTTGCTAAGAGCTCCCATGTGTAGAACTGCGTGAGTACAAGAGTCTCCCCTGGCGTGTACACTTGAACGTTGAACGTGTAGTTCAGGCTCAGTTAATTGAACTAGACGTTGGTGGCATATATTTCACATGGGCATGCAGAATGCATACCGGGTTTTCAACCTTCATTCACATACATCTAGGATAACTTTGACTGGATCATAGAGATTCAGATTGTAGAGACCGAATAGACCAGGTCTAAGGACTGAATTTTGAAGCCGAAGTAGCACCTCCCAAACGATGTAGCCGTCACCTTCACTCACTTTCCACATAGTCAATCATACTTCAACCCTTCTTCACTCATCCAGGCCACAGGTAAAGCCGTGTCCAACAGATCTAACCGTCACCTTCACTCACTTTCCACGTAGTCAATCATACTTCAACCCTTCTTCACTCATCCAGGCCACAGGTAAAGCCGCGTCCTACGGATCTAACCGTCACCTTCACTCACTTTCCACATAGTCAATCATACTTCAACCCTTCGTCACTCATCCAGGCCACAGATAAAGCCGTAAAAACCGTCCGTGACCGCTTTGTAATCTATTGTGAGAACGTAGGCTTCGAAGGCGTCATGTATCTCGATGCTATATCGGTAAGCTTTGAATGTCTAGTTTTTCGCATATGGATTTGTCATTCGAGATTACACATGTGTGTTCAACATGTGTGTTCAAATGTGAGGCTTATACTAAATGTAAAATCTAGCTGGCCTTACATGTGGACGTTTACGTTTGTGTTTGTGACCATTACGATTGTATGTACTGGTGCATATGCGCAGGCATTTGTCTACCTTTTCGTATCGACATCGACTCGGCAGTCCGTGCTGTGTCTACACACGCACACCCTGACATTATATTTCAAAGTGCGAAACGATGGATTTCATGTGCCGGGTGTATTGGAATTCCACACCTCTGAAATACGACTGTAGTACCTATATTGCATGTGATGCTACAGCTCACTCTCTCCTTTTTTTATGGTGCCCTTTTTTTATGGTGCCGGTGTGTTGGAATCCCACACCTCTGACATACGACTGTAGTACCTGTATTGAATGTAATGACCACTGACATATGACTGTAGTACCTATATTGAGTGCAATGCTACAGCTCACTCTCTTCTTTTTATATATCTAGAACGTGTCTCAAGGCCTGTCCGAGCTCGTCGACGACCTTGTTATCTGCATGTACCCGCCACAAGTGCCTGCAACCCTATTAGAGAATGCCGCACATCTCGAGGATCAAGTGCAACGGTTACTGACTTTGGCTCAGAAAGAGGTGGATGGGGTGTCTCTCGATGTGTCTAAGAAGGGTGTACAGGCTTGTGATATAGTCTCGAAAGCTCTCACATACAATTTAGAGAACATCAGGAAAACGAATGTATAATCACACTTATGTACATACGTGCTTTTTTTTAGTGTGGTGGGATTAGTAAATATTAGTAAAAACAGAAGAGGAGGAGATTCGACTTATCTCCATTTGATGATGACTAGGTTTGTGTGTGTGTACGTGGGAAAATGAGTCACGCGAAAGAATTGGCTTGCGCGGCTGGTATTGTGATGTGCAGGAGGGAACGGGCATAGCCTGCTTTCTTTTCTTGATGAGGCTATGGGACTGGGGGGGGGGGGTTTTAAAGGTTCTAGAAGAAGTTCAGTCTTTTGTAGGAGTCTATGAGAAGTTCCAGATGCATGAGCTCATTTTTGTAGATGCACAAGTTTGGACCACTAAAAGCTGTGGCCATTTATACCTCAGACCTTCGATTGAAACTATTTATTGGCGAAAGCGATCTTGAACAATTTCGTACCAAGGTACCTTGGGTATTTGTTATCAGGACAGTGTGTAATATGGCAAGTTGAGACTGACTGGAAAGCAGCAGCATGCTATCACAACCCGCTATCGATGATCGCGTATGTTGCTATGGCAGCCCACTGTATGTATTTTGTGAGTTGGCTGTATGTTGGCATTAGCTGCCCTGGTAGTTGTGCTGGGCGACACCGATGCAATCCAAATATATTTTCAATTTCTACTTATTCTTTGCGGTTTAATCTCAAAATGGTCAACTGACTATTGACGGTTTGACTCGTTGCAAACCGTCGCTTTTTAATAGACATATGACTAAACATGTGCATATACATAGAGTTGTAATGTTTTTATACAACTATACACGTAAGTTGAAGTATCATTATACTCCCTACTCGTTCCTAACACCACGGCGAGACAATATCAGCGCAGTACTGTTGACACACACTCTCTGGATCCGCGATGAAACATTCGCCAGCATTATCTTTGTTTGCACACCAATAACTAGCGCCCAGGGTGCACGGATTTGACTCAGCAAGTGGTACACAGAACGGTGAATCCTCAAGTTCGCTACAGTAATCTTCGCAATCACCGATGGGATTTTCGATGTTGCATTCGTCGGCATTCTCTTCAGTGGCGCACCAGTAGCTAGATCCCAATGTACAAGGATCTAACATGCCACAGAATGGACTATCGACCAGATCATCACAGTATTTCTGACAATCTACTTCGGGGTCGCCAATACTACATTCAATTGCATTTGCCTCTGATGTACACCAATATGAAGGTCCCAGAGTGCAGACGTTTTCCATACCAGCAGCTATGACTGGGGCTATCCTAGCTACGGCGGACGCTATGGCGAACAAGCTGGATTGCATAGTGATATTAAAAAATTTATTTGCAACGAGAATTCAGCACGAGTGTAAGCCTTATATACTACACACCGACACGTTCTCAGCAGTTGTCATATGCAAGTTGAACTCTTTTCTCTCTCTCTTTCTATCTTTCGAGATTCTCTCAAAGAAAAGAGGAGGTGAAGGACACACAATGGTTGTCGTCATATGAACAATTTTTTTTTTGAATTTCGAATCTTGTCACACTATGGACTCTGGAGTTTGGAGTGTGGATATCTGGGGTACTTTCCTTGCCCTTGCCTTTTGTTTTTTTTAATTGTGTGACTAGTGTCTCTACTCTCTCTCTCTCTCTAGTAGAGTAGAGACTAGAGAGAGAGTCCCTCTACTAGACTCAGAGAGAGTATATAGACAACAGGAGAGGCCGAGAGGGGCATAGCCTCACTCGGCCCCATGGGCCACATCACACATGCCACATGTTTCTACTCTCTATAGAGAATAGGAGCAGACAACATCAAATATTGGGCGGAGGAAATTTTAGAGGGTCTCTAACTCTCTGCTCTGAGACTTGAGAGCCAATCTCATTACATTTCCCGTTAAAACGCAAAAATAGAATAAAAATATAAGCGTTTACGTTCATAGTTTATTCTTAATATAGTCCTATGGGTTTGCAAATAGGTACATTTTTTAAGGCGTCCTACCTGTCATGAATTGTCCTATTTTTCACTTTGTGTCAATTGTGAATAGTTTCACAACGCCTTTTCATGGTTTCAGGTGCAAAGTAGGGAAATTTTGATGGTCGATTTGCCCCCGTTATACTTTAAGATTTTTTTTAGCGTTGCAACGTATTTTGCTATATTTTAGCCTGTATATTGTGGCCTGAATATTGCACCTATTGCAAAACGTTTGGTCTCAGTTTTCAATATCAGAATGTGTCGTCAGAACAAAATGTTGGTATGTATGTGCTTATTGCCTAACCTGGAATATGGCCCTACAAGTATAAACGGGACACTAAAATGAAAGTATACTACAATTGATTTTAAACGTTTAAAGGATCATTTATTTGCCTTGCAACTTATAACAATATGAAGTTAAATACACAGTCTAGTAGAGTCTGTAGAGACTAGGAGTAGAGAGAGAGAGAAGAGAAATGAGGCTACTCTAAATATTTACTTCTAGAATCTCTTGAGTCTTATTTAACTCTATATTCATAAAGAACTCTGTAATTCACAAATTCTGAATTCAATCTGGGGGAGTTTCACTGATTCGGTGGTTCCCTCCTCTGCGACCTGCAATCCTGCATGCGTGACTGTCTTTTGCGTGTCCAGGCGACTGTCTATTTACACTCTACACACAGGTCTACAGTTCTACACTCCACACTCTACAGTCTACTCACTCTACACTCTAAATTTTTTTTAAACATACAGTTTACAGTCAACTGTTCTACACTGTAGTGTAGACTACAGTCTACTGCTCTACACTATTTAGTATTTACAGTCTACACTCTACAGTGAACAGTCTTCACTGAGACTTGACTCTTAGGCCGGATTTGCCAACTTCAGGAAATATTGGGGAACAAAATATGAAATGAGTAAAACACTTTACTCCGTTAACTAATTTCGATCCTTCTTCGCAAGATCCATAATTTTAACAGTTATTCTGAATATTCAGGAAATTATGGGAAATGACTTTCATAATTTTTAAGCCTCGTAATTTTCTGATTTCACGATTTCGGGTGTTTTGCCATTCCCAAATTATGTCAGATTCAATCCAAAAAATACACAACAATATTTTGTTTTGTTGTATATTTTACCATAAGTCAAAAAGAGGGTCTACCCTTTTTTTGACTTATAGTAGAGAATGATGTATTCGATTTTAGGATTTACTCCAGCTTTTATGCACGTTGACAACATGACATCCCTTTCAAAAGACCGACAATTTACGCGCCAAAAAAAAAAGCAAAATCTCAAAAAAAAAATCATGGAATCACTACTGCCAATGGGAGGGCTCGGGTTAATTTTTACCAATCCAAATGTTCCATCACTTTTTCGATTCCATATTAGAATATCTTGTGCATTCGCGCATTTGCCAACTGAAAGTATAAAAATACTGTGCGAATATTCTACAATATCTCAAATACAATCTCGCATGAATTTCGAAATTCTCATGAAATATAGCGCTCTAATATTTCATAGAAAATATACCAAAATATACCTGAATATTTATTAGGGCAAAATTTTCCCAATATTTCTTTATGGAAAATCAGGCCTTATCAATGTCTTCACTGAGAAACCAGTCTATGACACCTTGTAACCGATCTTTTTTTTTGTATTTGTTTTGTATTTTATTGTTAAAATAAATATATAAAACAAAATACAAGAACACACCAAATCAGAGGCAACTTTTTTTGGGGTGGGGGGGGTGAGCGGTAGATCCCAGTTTCTGGAGTTACCGCTATTTTCTTGTCCAATAACAATGCTATATTTATTTGTATAAAAAGAACCAGTTTTTTTATTTTTATACTTTCAATATCTATTTGTGTCATCATCTTGTTCTTTTCTGTCGTGGACTAGTGTGTCACGCAAATAATCTAACATCGAACTCGAAGACGTCCTTGACTCCTCGAGGCTCAAGGCCCAGGCCCAAGGGCCCAGGGGTCAGGACTCAGGCCATTCGATATGTAGGCCTCCAGGCTAACCTCATTACGTTCCCAATTAAAACGCGGAAGAAATAAGCGTTTGCGTTAAAAGTTTATCCTTAATATAGTCCTAATTACTTTTTACGTTTACGTTTAAAGTTTATCACATATAGGCAAAACGTATTGAGCTTAGCCTTCAGGCCCCATGGAGACCCCAGTTCACCCCACATTTTTACATATCCCAATTGTAGTCGTGACTCGTTAGTCGTTACTCTTCCAACAGTTAAACATTTTTATGCAAAGGCAACAAAAATATTATTATTAAAAAGTAATATTGTTATAAAGGGGGGTGCGCTAAATGGAAATCGGAAATCAGTGGAAATTGATTTTTTTTTTTCAAATATCCCTGCTCGGGGTGTATAGCTAACGAAATGTAGCACGTATTCTGTTGGTTTAGCCTTGGCTCGCATTGAATCATGCTGATCAATTTATTGAGCCATGGATCTTTACTCCGTAATGGGCAATACAACGTGATGGTAGCTTTGTATATGAACATAATTTAATAGCTGGGCAATTAACTGCCATGGTGGATTAGCCCACGCATTATGTTGGGAGAGGTCTATTTGAAAGGCGTCTCCCATAGGATGATTTAAAGTCCCGTAATTCGATAGTTGTGCATTATGATGTGCAGCAAACATATCTATGGTATGTGGCGCATATATCTTTTGAGCCAGTTCAACCCACCTGGGATCACACTTCCAGTCAGTAGCTAGTAGCTCACGTACGGATTTATTGAAGTCCTTTACGAAGCGTGATAACATATCCGTTAAATGGTTATGTATACCTGGCAGATCTTTTATATCAAAATAAAACTTTGATATTGTATCATGCCAGCGACTCAGTAATTGCGAGTCGGGTTTCATCTCTTTCATATATTGAAGAGATTTTTGATCACACATCAGCGTAAATGCTGTTCCGTATAAGTAATCTCGGAAGTGTGTTAGAGCTGCCACTATAGCTAATAGCTCTTGTTTAACAGTTGGATAATTCAACTGTGAAGCATTCATTGCTCGACTAAATAATTGTATATATCTAGGTTTGTTATCTATAATCTGATATAATACTCCTCCTAAGGCTAAGTCTGATGCGTCGCACGCCATCGACTGGCCCTTGTACAACTGGGGCTTGTTGGACTGCGTGTTTGAGCGCTTTAAATGCGTCATCACACTCTTTAGTCCACAAGTCTCCTAGTTTGCCTTTATGACATCTTAAGTGTCCAAAAAGTTTAAGGTAGTCAGCGAAGTGTCTATAGTTGTAAACTCTGTAACACCTTCCATCCTTCGCATTAGCTCGTTACTACGAGGTAAGTGGAAGCTATGAGTCGGCAATAATATATTTATTGGACTCATCTAAAGATACTCTGACTTTCTTAAACGATCCGTCAGAGTTATGTTGGTCTACGACTAGCAGTGCCAAGTTAACTGGCGTTTGTTGATAGTTGTTTCTATAACACCATCTGCTAGTCATTTCTCAACTTGTTCTTTTAC